TGAAAATGTTATCGTGTATAGAAAATGCAAATATAAACAACCAGTGAAAATTTCATGTATCTACGGTCATTTGTTTTAAAGTTACACCAAAAACCAGAATCGATTTTTTGGAAAACCGATTTTGCGTAAAAATTCCCGTTTTTCCTTAATTTTTATGTTGTTTTTCCCGGCGCTCTTGAAAACTACTGGGAAATTTAAATTTTGACCTCCCCGATGCACCAACGATATTCACTTTCCAATCGAACAAGATACTGAAGTCGAAAATCGAAGCATTATTTCGACTACTTATCGTGTACACAGACACAAAAAAAATAAAAAATAAAATAAAAAAAAAAACACACATCATTGTAAAATCAATACATTCATCGTTTCACTCAGAATCTAAAAAAAAACTGATGATCACGCTACCTGACAGACCGCTTTCGTCCCAAGATATTATAAAATATGTCGGAAAGTTCAAAATCAATCATTTCCGTGGAGTCTTTTTATGTGATAACTTACCTAAAAAACCGCAGCTATTGAATGTGGTATATTAAACTTGGATATTTCTTCAGGTGACGGAAGTCATTGAGTAGCGTTTTATAAAAATAAGGACAAAGTTGTATATTTTGATAGCTTTAGTGATTTACCACCACCAATTGAATTACAACATTATTTCAGACAGTTCAAAATAGTATACAACTATTCTAACTATCAAGATTTCAATACGTTCAACTGTGGTCATTTATGCCTTGAATTTTTACAATGTATGAATCTATTACATTAAGTTTGACTGGGAATTCAACTATATTATCTACAAATTATTTTCCATCTCTAAATGGTTACGAGGATTCGGAAATAGCTGTTTTCTTAATAATTAATTTTGACTTCAATGAAAAAATATTTTATTATAAAAGTATTACATATTATACATAAAAAATCTTTATTTTAAAATATCTAACACTCAAAGAAAAATCCTGAGGATTATTAATAAGATATAATTGTTAACTTTAATAGTGGTTCAATTGTTAACTTGAAAATAATTTTGTATGCTTAATTATATAATGTATGCAGGTAACAAAAAATCTTGTTCATCCAAGAGTCGTATAGTAATGCTAATTGGGGTGAAGTAATGCTAACGGGGTGAAGTAATGCTAACGGGGTGAAGTAATGCTAATTGGGGTGAAGTAATGCTATCGGGGTGAAATAATGCTAACGGGGGTGAAGTAATGCTAACTTGGGGTGAAGTAATGCTAACGCGGTTCCACCCCCGGTCTTCGATTCAACCCGGAAAAAAAAAAATAGTCGTATTGTTAATGGGGTGGTTTATTTTATTTTTGTCGAGTATTATAATATTTGTAATAATTCGATAAAATTCATAGTGAATACAAGGAACAATATTGTTTCGACAATTATAAATACTTGTAAATAAGATTATACTATTATTAGTTTTTAATAGTGATGCCGTAGATTACAATTTTATTTATATGATAAATATATTATTATTGTTATTAATATGTATATTGTTAATTGTACACAGTATAATTCAATTTTCAATATTAATAAAGGTATTTTTAAAATATCTGATGGGTTTTCCCCTCTTAACAATGATAACGTTTAGGTTAACAATATTCATTATTAAATAAGGCAGTAATAATAACCGACTGATTGTGACGTATCCATGTAATGTGTTTCGTGTGGCGCTTTGTCTGTTGTCACTGTGACTGTGAAGTGTGAATACCTATTATTTGGAAAGACGAGAACGAGAACGTACAATATTAATTAGTTTAATTTGAAAGTTTTCTAAGTTTTCTAAATAATATACTGCAGCCGCCAGCCACAGGTAAGTAAAATGATTTGTTATATTTGTAAATTATACGTAACAGATTTTCAATCTTTGGTAGTTCATTTTAAAATTATGCACATGTTAAAATCAAACAGTACATATCAATGCTGCGAAGACATGTGTTCCCAGTCTTTTCAATCTTTAGCTACTTTTAAAAGACATATATTAAAAAAACATTGTTTATCGAACCATACTATGCAACATCAAAATCCTTCAGAAACTCTTTCTCAAAGTATATTAGAACTAAATATTGTAAATCCTACCAATCGTAGTGATAGTTTTAATGACGTTGAATTCTTAACAGAAACTCCCTTGCATAATGCTGAAATTCCATTTAACTATGACGAGGTAGTTAAAAATTTGTATATGTCAACTACTTGTTTCATTTTAAGTCTTTACAATAATAATAATTTTAACAATTCTGATATAGATTATATTAAAAATGGAATAAAAAATTATATTTTGAAACCTATATCATCAATTTTTGAAAAATTAGTTGGTAATCTTGTTTAAACAAATACTGTTGAACGTTCTTTAAAGTTAAAAATAAAAAAATTTCAAACTTGTAATCTTAGATCCTTTTCAATATTGTTCAACAGAATACGGTTTAAGTAAGTGGTTATTAGAGAATAATTTTAAATCAAATATTAAACAATTTACAATTAATAATGATGTATGTACAGTTCCACATGGTGGTGAAGTAATTTACGATGAAAAGCTAACTAAAGGAGCATTATTAGATTTGAAATTTCAATTTAAAAAGTATTTTGAACTCGATAATAATTTTGAACTCCATTACAACACACTGAATCAATTAAAAAGTAATACTGAGACTATTTCACATTTTGTCCAAGCAGATCTGTGGAAAAAGAAAACATCTTTATATGAAGGAAAAATAGTGTTTCCTTTTTTTTTATATATCGATGATGTAGAGATTAATAACCCTTTAGGATCACATGCTAATTTCCAGACCATTACAGCAATTTACTACAGTTTTCTATTAGCCAAAAATAATTCTCAGTTAATTAATATTTTTGTGGCAGCATTAGTAAAATCAATTGATTTGAAAAATTTGGAAATGATTCATGTTTAAATAGTTTGATTAATGAGATAAATATTTTGGAAAAAGAAAGAATATGTATAACCACAAAAAATGGTAGTTTTCAAGTATATTTTTTACTTGGTCTAGTTCTTGAAGACAATTTAGGGTTGAATAGTATACTAGAGTTTAGTCGATCATTTTCATCAAATTATTATTGTCGTTTTTGTAAAGTTGAAAAATCAATTATGAGAACTCTTTGCGAAAAAGATAATACTATGATGCGCAATATTGAAAACTATACTGAGGATATAGCAAAAAATAATTTTAGTTGCACTGGATTGTATAAAGAATCCATTTTAAATAAAATATTTTCCTTTCATGTTACTAGCAATTTTTGCGTAGATGTAATGCATGATGTTTTTGAAGGTGTGTGTCACTATGACATGTGCCATATTATTAAATACTAGGTCTATACAGTACAATTATTTTCATTAAATACATTAAATAATAGAAAAAATAATTTCAATTATGGATGTTTAGAAGTAGGAAATATTTCGCCTCCAATTAAAGATATCCATTTAAATAAATGTCACTTAAAAATGTCAGCTAGGGAAATGATGACATTTATACATTTTTTCCCCTTAATGATTGGAGATTTGATAATAGAAGGTGATGAAGTTTGGCAATTTTTTTTTGATATTAATTAAACTAATCGATATTCTTTTATCAAACACATTTAATCAGAGTGCAATATTGCACCTGAAAAAATTAATAATGCAACATAATTCTTTATACATTTCTCTCTTCAATGACACATTGAAGCCCAAACATCACTTTTTAGTTCACTATCCTACTATTATCCAATACTCAGGTCCTCCAAGACGTTTTTGGTGCTTTCGATTTGAAGCTAAACATAGAGAAATGAAAATATATGCTCGCACTAATTCTTCTAGAAAAAACATTACATTAACTTTGGCAAAAAAATCCCAACTGAAATTCTCTAATTTTCTAATAAAACAAAGAGTTAGTAATCTTTCAGTGAAAGATAAACACATAATACGTAGTTCTAATATAAATTATATATGTGAAATACTTTCCATAAAAGTAACACAATTTACTTGTTGTGATGAAATTGAATATAATGGAACTAAATATAAAAAAGGTGGGCAAGTGGGTGTCGCTCTGCTGTACAGTAGGTTACAAGTGGGTCACTGTATAATGGATGATATTAAATTTGAATTCAACGATATAATATCATTGTATAAGAAAAACGATTCTGAGCGGAGACGGTATGTCAGTCTATGTATAAGACACATTATATACATATCTATGGTATTAAACAAAAATTGACCTATAATAGGTACCTATAATAAATTCCAAATTAATCATATCACAATATCCATTAGGTACTGGTAACGCGTTATACATCAACAAAAACCGTGATACTATCATAGATATATAATAGTACACTTTAGAAGTTTCAAGTACCTACCCACGAATAATATTATTCAATCACAACAAAATAACTAAAATTTTAAAATTCTAGGTATGTAATTTCGTCCAAATTTGAATTTAAAATATCTGTAAAAAATAAGTGTGTTCATATATTTTTTAGATTTTTTGGTTATAGTATGAACTATTTATGAGAACTTTTGTGTTGAATTTGTAATCCTTAGCTATAAAAACTGAACATTTTATAATTTATTAATTACAACGATTGATAATTTTCGATATTTTGATAAATTTTGTCAAAATTTGGTCTTTAAATGCTTATAAAAAAAACTGTGCCTATGTATTTATAATATTTTTCAACTGCTATTGTAACAATATATCAGGAGCCTTGTATTAAATTTTACACTTTTTGGCCCAACAGATAAAACTTAATTGATATTTATAGAAAAAAAAAACTAAAAAAATTGAAAACTGAAAATGTCCGTAAACGGCTCAAAAAGTGTCAAAATATTTTCAAAATTGTAGGGTGTATAGGAAATGCTAATATAAACATTCAGTGAAATTTTCATGTATCTACAGTAATTCGTTTTTTAATTACAACAAAAAAAGGAAATTGCCACATGAGAAATCGAGTGAATAT